GCACAGAATCGTAGTGGTTGGAAGGGACCTCAGAGATCATCGAGTCCAACCACCAAAAAAAAAAAAAAAAAAAAAAAACCCCAAAAAAAAAAAAACCCTAAAAAAGCATCAATTTGGGTGGTTTTTGCCCCCCCCCCCCCCCGCAAAATCCCACCCCAACTCCCACCGACCCAAAACCCCCCCAAAACAGGCCTCGGGGCCATTAAATTTGATTTAAAATTGAAATTAAGTCCCTGTAAAGGCTTTTTATACAAATTTGGGGATGGAAAAATGAGGCCAAACCCAGGAACGGCCTCAATTCCCTTGATTTCTTGACCAAAATTGCCCTTTTTTGACCCCAAAACCTTCAGACGGGGGCGTCGCGTGCCGAAACCCCACTTTTTACCCCAAAAGAAGTCTTTATTGAGGAGTTTTGGGGCGAGTTCCGGGGAAGGTGGGAATTTTCCCATTTTACGTGATTTTGGCACCGGGACACGGGGCAGGGGAGGGGTCGGTGTTGTCCCATCGTCTCTGGTCCCTCCTTGGGTCTGGAACCTGGAGGTTGAACCCGGAACCGTGAGGCGAGAACCTGGAGGTTGAGTTGAGGCAAGAACCTGGAGAAGGAGCCGAGAACCTGGAGGCCGAGGCCGTAACCGTCGGAGGAGCCAAGAACGAGTCGAGAACCAGAGGATGAGTCTGGAACCGGAGGCCGAGCACCAGGAACCGGCTCCAAGAACCGGAGGTTGAGTCGAGAACATGGAGGTTGAGCTGGGTTGAGTCAAGAACATGGAGGCCGAGGCCGTAACCGTCGGAGGAGCCAAGAACTGAGGTTGAGAACCAGAGGATGAGTCTGGAACCGGCCTCGAGAACCTGAGGAGGAGTCAGAACCTGGAGGTTGAGTCGAGAACGTGGAGGAGGAACCAGGAACGGGGAGGCCGAGGAGTCGAGAACATGGAGGTTGAGTCAGGAACTGGAGGCCGAGGTGACAACGTGGAGGAGGTTGAGTTGGGAACCCAAGATTGAGTCAAGAACCCGGAGGTTGAGTCAAGAACCGGATGCCAAGACGACAACATGGAGGAGGACCCATGAGGCTGAGGAGTCGAGAACCCGGAGGTTGCCCCTCTACGAGCCATTGCCGTCCATCTCCCGTCCCGGGGGCTCCCCGAGATCCTGCCCCACGTGCCCCCCACACCCCCCTGCCGGGACCTTCTCCTGGTGGCCACCGTCGGCCATGATGTCCCCCAGCCCCGCCGTCTCCGAGGGTTCCCCCGTCCCGCCCGTCTCCACCTTCTCCTTCCTCAGCCCCGAGGGCGGGGAGGGGGGTCCGGGGCCGCCCCCCTCGCTCTGGGGGGTCCCGGGGGGCGCCTCGGGGTGACTCTTGCTCTTGTGGGCCGCGACGTTGTCCTTCTTCTCGAACCTCTTGCCGCAGAGGTCGCAGGAGAAGCGGTAGAAGGAGGCGGCGTCGTGTTTCCTCATGTGCCAGTTGAGGGAGGCCTTTTGGCGGCAGGTGAAGCCGCAGATCTCGCACCTGGGGGGGAGAGAACGGGGTCCGATTTGGGGTGAAAAACGGCCAAAAAGGGGCACAGCCGGGAAAAAACGGCCTCCGGTGTTCTAGGCCTCAAGTTTTAGGCCTCAAGATTTAGGCCTTGATTATTTTTCTTTTTAGGCCCCAGTTGTTTTGTTTTTTTGAAGACCTGGTGGTTTGGTTTTTAGGCCTTAAGTTTTAGGCCTTGATTATTTTTCTTTTTTTTTTAGGCCCCAGTTTTGGTTTCTTTGGAGACCTGGTGGTTTTTTTTAGGCCTCAATTTTGAGGCGACAATTTTTTTTGGAGGCCGTGGTTTTTAGGCCCCAGTTTTGGTTCTTTTTGGAGACCTGTTTTGGTTTTTAGGCCTCGATTTCAAGGCTGCAATTTTTTTTGGAGGTTTTTAGGACCTGGTTTCGATGCCTTTTGTGTCCCTGGTTTTAGAGGCCCCGGGGGTTTTTGAGGCCTCCATTTTTGAGTCTTCAGGGTTTTTGAGGCCTCCATTTTTGAGTCTTCAAGGTTTTTTTGAGGCCTCCATTTTCAAGGCCCCCCCCTTTTTTTGAGGCCTCCATTGACCCCATGCGGCTTCACGGCCCCTTCCAGTGCTCATTAAACCCCAGCTGATTAAGCTAACGAAGCTGCTGGACCACAACCCCCTGAGGGCCAGAAACCTTGAGGAGGCCCCCCTTTTTTTGAGGCCACCATTGACCCCATGCGGCTTCACGGCCCCTTCCAGTGCTCATTAAACCCCAGCTAATTAAGGTAACGAAGCTGCTGGACCACAACCCCCTGAGGGCCAGAAACCTTGAGGCACCAACAGGTGGGTCTTGGTGGAACCAGGCCCCCCGAGGCCAAATTTGGGTGGAAAAGCTCCGAGAAGAGACCTCCCCCCCCCCGGAGGGGTGGAAGGCGCCTCGGTGGGAGCGGGACTCACTGGAGGGGCTTCTCCCCGGTGTGGATGCGCCGGTGGATGATCAAGTTGCTGCTGGTGCGGAAGGAGCGGGCGCAGAACTCGCAGATGTAGTCCCGTTTATCTGTGGGGCAGGAGAAACCAAGGGTTATGGGTCGATCCCTCCCAAAAACGAGGAGTTTGGGAAAGGAAAACGCTTTCCTGGCGCTGACAAAGGAGATGGGGGTGGTAGATCTTGGGAAGGAGGAGCCAACGGGGCGCCGTGACATCTCCCAGGGGATGGGAAAGGGGGTGGTGAGGACGTGGTTATGGGGCAGGAGAAGACTTAGGGGGGGGGCAACCCCCCCAACCCACCGCTGTGCAGCTTCTCGTGTTCCTTGAGGTGTTTCTTGAAGTTGAAGGACTTGCCGCAGCTGGGCTCGGAGCAGGTGAAGGTCTTCTGGTGGACGTGCTGGTACTTCTTGTGGTGCTGCCGTTTTGGGGGGAAAAAGTAAGAAAAGAGGAGGTTGGGGGCGGAGAAGCTGCTCTTGGAGGAGGCCCAAGGGCTCCTTCCAGCGACAACGTCCCCTGTTTTGCTCCTTGAACCCCGTGGTGGCACCTCAGGTGACCTTGTGGTGGGGCTTCAGGTTGCCCCATGGTGAGACCTCAAGCGGCCCTCGTGGTGGGACCTCAGGTGACCTCATGGTGGGACCTCAAGTGACCTCGGACACCCCCAAACACCCAGGGCCAACCAGTCCCGTGTCCGTGAGCCCCCTTCCGTTGAGGTTCCGCCTCTTGGCCAACGCCAAGATGCCCCCAAAGAGATCTCAGATGGGCCAAAACTCATGTGGTGGGTCCCCAACCTCCTGGTGGCCCCCAGAAGTGGGGAGAGAGGGGGCCGGGGGGGTGGATGGGAGGGGGATGGTTGTCCTCACGTTGAGATATTGCCGGTTGGAGAAGATCTTCCCGCAGCCTTCGAAGTCGCAGAGAAGGATCTCCCTCTTGGCCGCCTTCCTGTGGAGAAACCACCATCGAGGGGAGGGAGAAGAGGTGGGAAAAGCCATTTTTGGAGGATTTGGAACCTTTTTAGATCCTCCTTATCCACCCAAAGTTGAATTTAAGCCCATAAAAGACCTTCTGGAAGGTCCCACCACCCCAAGGGATGGTCCTTTCTCCGTCCTACCTGATCCTCTTGGGGCCGATCTGGGCCACCTCCTCGTCGCTGGGTCGGCCCTTCCTCCTCCAGCTGCAACGACCAAAAGTTGAATTTAAGCCCATAAAGACCTTCTGGAAGGTCCCACCACCCCAAGGGATGGTCCTTTCTCCGTCCTACCTGATCCTCTTGGGGCCGATCTGGGCCACCTCCTCGTCGCTGGGTCGGCCCTTCCTCCTCCAGCTGCAACGGCAAAGAAAAAGACCTCAAAATTAGATTTTTTTAGCCCCAAATGAAGCCCAAGGTCAACCAGCATCATCACTGAGGGGTCTCCAAGCGAAAAAAAACCACGTTAAAACCATCTTTTGGGGCTGTTTTTCTTTTATCCCTTCCATTTTTGGGGCTCTCGCTGTTAAAAAACGCACTTTTCAGCCGTTAAAAATAGCAAAAAATATTCTTTATTACTAATTACATCGTTTTTCACATCGTTTTTTTTGACATTTAAGCTAGTTCTCGAGCCGGCGCCGCCCTCAATGGTCTGTAATTTCTCCCAAACTCTGTGGAAATGGCGGATGTTTTGGGCCGAATTCCTGGAATTAAAGGAAAGATCCGTTAAAAAAAAAAAAAAAGTTTTCTTTTTTTAAAACAGAGGTTTCAGGTTAAAAGCAAAAAGGAAATTAATTAAAAAGCCTTAACGAAGGAGGACGATACTCACATGGAGGAGCTTTGGGGCGCGTTCTGCCTCCGGCGCTGTCTTTTTTGGGCCAAGAAGCACTAAAAAGTGGCGGTTTTGGGTCATTGCCCCTGATTCCAGTAAAATGAAGGTTTTTTAACACCCTCCTCGTGTCAAAATTGGATGAAAAATCCACCAAAACGACGTCTCTTCGTGTCTCGGACCCAAGGACCATCCTCACTGGTGGCTTTAACCTTCTCTCGCCTCAAGACCCAGCAAATAATGGACAATTTGAGCTTTTTTGGAACAAAAAAATAGTGATTTGTGAAGCCCTCGGGGCTGGGAAGTGATTAAACCTCGACTTTAGGCCTCAAAAAAAGGGCGGAAATGAGTAAATTAATTAATCCTGCTCGTTATCACGCTGTCACTTTGTCAACTCGAGGTTGGTGGCTTCTCCCCGTGGAGCTGCTGGGCCCCATAGGGGCCTGTATCTATAGGGCGAGACCTATAACTGGAAGAAGGGCCTTCAAGGTCCACCCAGTGGTGGGTCAAGGGGGGCTTCAAGCCCCCCAGGAAGCAATGACTCATTAAGACCACCCCATAACGAGGTCCACATCCCCCCCCAACCTCCTTCATGAGCTCCAACGAGACCTGACGACGCAGCTTCTGGACGGTGGTGGCACCAGGAGAGGAAGGTTGTCCCTTGGGGACACCCCCGGCCCCCCCAAGAGCTCCACCATCCTTGGGATGGATGGTTTCCACCCCTCTGGTTGGAGCATCATCTCCAACGTGCCCCAAAAGGCTCCTTGGTGGCCACGGATGGCCCAAGAGAAGTTCTTGAGGACCGTCCCTGGTGTCACCGCACCGACGTGGCCGCCGTGACCCACCTGGCTCGTCCAGTCTTCTCCTCCACTGGGCTGGAGCTGGTGGGGCTGGGCTCATCCGGGGGCTGCTCCTCCTTCACTGGTTTCTTCCGGACTTTGGACTGGGTTTGTCGTCGCTGCAGCTCAGAGTCACTGGGGGAGAAGAAGACATGGGGTGGGCGAGATGGTTTAGGTGGTTGGATGTGGTAGGACAGTGGTTGGACACCATTGGATGTGGTGGGACATTGGTTGGATGCCATTGGATGTGGTAGGACAGTGGTTGGCCACCATTTCCCATGGTAGAACATCGGTTGGATGTCATTGGACATTGGTTGGATGTGGTAGGACACAGTTGGACGCTGTTGGACACAGTAGGACATTGATTGGCCATGGTAGGACATGGCAAAGACCCTCAACCAGGCCAGAAGGTGCCCCCAAAAGTCCTTCCCAGCAGCTCCCCGTGGCCCTCACCTCTCCAGAGATGGGTGGTAGTTCTCATCCCGCAGGTCATCGGCGTAGGTGAGGTCATTGTCCTCGGCCAAGTCCTCATCTTCCTCTTCCTCTTTTTCCTGGGGCTGAGCCACCTCCTCCGTCTTCCCCTCCGGGAGGTGTCTCCTGCAGAAACCCAACGCTCAAAGTCAACTCTGGTCCCAAGGGGTTTTAAATCATGGAAGACCCTCAAGAACTCAAGGGATGAGCTGGAAGGGTCCAAATTTGACCTTCGTCTCCAGAGAACCCAGTTCTTCCACCCAGGGAAGGACCCACCAAGGCCACCACTCACCTCCCGGGATCTTCTGCCGTGGTCCCCGTCTGCGTCAGAGCTTGGGGAGCTGCAAAGGAGAGGACAAGGTTGGAGCAGGGGCTGGTTGAGGTGGGATGTGGGGAGAGGAGGAGGAGGAGGAAGGTTGGGAAGCCTTAGAAAGGAATCGTGTGGTGACCAGAAGAAACGAGGGCCAAGACACTCCAAAATAATGCTACTGGAGGAGGCTCAACCTCCTGCTCAGGAGGCTCAATCCCTTCCTGAAGAACCTCAACCTCCTGGGAGAAGGGCTGAAGATGGGGAACGAGGAGGACAACGGGGAGAGGAGGATGGAGAAGGGGACGTGGAGGACCTCACCCGTGTGACCGTTGTCACCAGCAGCTCCCAGTTCTTCTCTCTGGTCCCCGTTGGGTTCTCCCACTTTGGCTTGTCCCTTCCTGGACTCGGTGGCCACCCTCGCTCTCCGCAGCGAGCGCCGGCGGCCGGTGACCCTTGGGGACTTGCACCCCGAGTCCTCTTCTTCTTCTTCTTCTCCTCCTCCATGATGGCCACTCGGGGGGGTCCTGTCCCCTGTCACCCCCCAGGAGAAGCTGTGACCGGCCACGCACTCCCACACCAGTTGGGAGGCGCCACCTGGAGCCGGGGGCTTGACGTCAGGGACAAAGCCACACTCTTGGCCATGACCATGGGACAGGGCCACCAGGCGCTGGAGGGCATCGGCCGGGAGAAGGTTGGGCTCGGGTTCTCCTGGTGAAGACACCAAAAAAACCCCCCAAAAACGGGTGAAAATCAGGTCCAAAGTTGGCTTTTTTGGTGGTTCTCCATCACATCGAACCAACGTGGGGCGGGTGGGAGGTTCTACAAAGGTCTCCTTCCACCTTCTCTACCATCTCGTGAGGTTCCTTCCCATCCTCATCTCACGAGGTTCCCCCCGTCTCATGAGGGTTCCCCTCACCTCCATCACCTCCCACCACCAGCTCACCATGGTCCCACCACCTCACGAGCTTCTCACCACCACCTCATGAGGTTCTCACTGTCATCTCAAGGAGGTTCCCACCACCATCGCATGATGTTCCCACCACCTCACGAGGTTCTCACCACCATCTCATGATGTTCCCACCAACTCCCAACGTTCCCACCACCACCTCACGAGGTTCCCCCACGTTCCCACCACCTCCACCATCTCATGATGTTCCCACCACCTCACGAGGTTCTCACCACCATCTCATGATGTTCCCACCAACTCCCAACGTTCCCACCACCACCTCACGAGGTTCCCCCCCCTCCCCCCAACCTTCTTTTCACCATTAACCCCCCGTTTGGACCCAAACCGAGGACGACCTGGACTTGGGGGCGGAGGTGGGTGGGAAGCACCAACCTCTGCTCCAGCCGCCTCCGTGGGAGCTGAACCTGGAGGACGAAAGGGACAAACGAGTGACCAAAAACCCCTCTTTTTGTGGCCATTTTGGGGATTTTTTTAACGGTTTTGGGGTTTTTTTGGGTGCGTCGTGCCCCCCCTCCCCGCTCACCGGTCCAGGAGGAACTGGGCCAACTGGGAGTGGAGGGCGAAGCCCAGCTGGTCCTTGAGGCGGCACCATCGCTCCAGGTGCCCCCCGATGCGGATGCGGCACCGGCTGCGACGCGCGTCCAGCTC